ATCTTAGTCATCAGACGCAATCATCTGACGACAACTTACAAACAAGTTTGTCATATGCATCCATCTGATATTGTTCATATGTGTTGTTAACCTTGTCTATATTCATTCCGCACGTTTAAATCATTCAATTTGATAAAATCATATATTCACCCCTCTCTAGGTGATAAAACTAGCCGTAACAAGTTGGGTGTCGGTATTCTTCATAATGTGGAGTTCTGAAAGTTGTTCGAGGTGCCTTGGTGATAATGAAAGAAATCAAGCATAATGGCCTATATGAACTTCAAGGTGAGACAGTGATGGAATTCGTTGCGGAGATGTTGGATACATCTGTTGGAGAGTCTGAATTGTGGCACATGCGTTTGGGGCATATTAGCGATAGAAGCCTGAAGGTTCTAAGTGAAAGAAATTTGCTATATGGTTATGTGGCTAACGAACTGAATGTATGCGGGTGCTGTGATTTAAATCAACGACGGAAAGTGCAATTCAATATGGTTGTCAGAGAAACCACAGAAATTGCAGAATTAATTCACTTGGATGTTCGCAGGTTATCGCAGTTTCCTTCGAGGAAGAGTGCCAGATTTATGCTAACAATTGTTGATGACTACTCGAGAAACACTTGGGTGTTTGTGCTTAAGCACAAGTTTGATGTTGTTGTTAGGATCAGGCAGTTAAAAGCTTTGATCGAAAAGGAGACTGGTAAGAAGATCAAGCATGTGCGGACTGATAATAGTATGGAGTTTTGCTCGGAACTGTTAAACGAATTTTGCATGAAGAAAGGCATAGTGAAACACCGCACTAATGCTAATGAACCACAACAGGTTGCTGAGTTGATAAGCAAAACATTACTAGAGATGGCCCATAAATGCTCTCTAGTGCTGGTATGGCTAGGAAATTCATGGTGGATGCGCTTTGTACGGTAAGCTACCTGAAGAATAAATCTCCATCGATTGTGATTGGATGTCGGACTTTCGAAGAAGTGTAGTCAGGTAACGTTATTGATTATTCTGTTCTTAGAATATTTGATTGCCCATGTTATGTTTGAGTTAGTGATGGTAAGCTCGATGAAAGGGCAATGAAGTGCATGTTCCTAGGTTATGCACAAGATGAGCGGGGCTATAAGTTGTGGTGTCCGGAATTAAATTCACATGTTATCAGCAAAAAAGTTACATTTGATGAGTCTCCAGTGCTTCTGGCTAAGAGTGTTAGTAGCAGTGTTCATATGGATCCGAACGGTATTCAGTTTGAGGTAGAGTTCCAACCAAAAACTCCTGAGGTAGCGAGTACTAGCGAAGTAATCGACAAAGATGGTGCTTGTAGCGAGGTGGAGCCTATAGAACCGACAGTTGTTGTTACTGCTAAAATTGACAAGGTGCGTATTCAGTCTCCTCGTAGATATAGATGCAATGATGGTTTTGCTTTATCTGCAATTGAGGAGGTTGTGTCGGAAATCCTTGTGGAGCAGTTAAAGGTGCATGTGGAGTTGGTGTTCTGATGAGGTCCACGGCTATGGCGAAGTTCAAGCGCAGCTTGGACTTGGAAGACGTCTGTGGCGACTGAGTCCATTAGGGCTATAGGAGAGTAGTAGCGAAATTCGGATTCTATCAAAGCAATTGTGACTTGGCTCAAAAGTAGAGCCAAGGTGGAGATTGTTGAAAATATGTCTCGAGTTTGAGCCCGATAAATGAAATTCGACCCGAGATTAATTATTATTTGTGGAGGTATGAATATTTCGAAGTTTGGATTTCTTATGCAAGTTTGGAATCGTGCACGCAGTATATGGCAATTTTCGTTTCCTAGTTGTAGGCGATTTTATTTCCAATTTGGAGTCCAAAGGATGTTGGACTTTGACTATGAAAGAAAGCAAATCGTGGACTCGTGTCAAAGAAAGGAAATAAAATACTACTTGAAGTCTACCAAAGAAAGAAAAAATAGGAATTGTGGGGCTAAATACTGCGTGAATTTTTGGGTGTAATTAGAGCTTGGAAAATACTTAGAGTGTTTGAGTGACTCGAGTGTGGTTACAATCTCCGTTGTATCGCTTGATCTATAGTGGAATTCCGTGCTGTTTTTCCCGTTAATGTAGGTCACTACGATCGAACCATGTAAATCTGGTGTCCGATTTATTTTCTTGTTCTGTCTATTTTTCTGTTCAATCGCTTGGCTTTCGCAACAAATGGTATCAGAGCCGATGGTTGATTGGTGGGCCCCCAATCTGTTCTGATGTTTGGTGAATATCTCAACAAAGAAATCTCATGATTAACGCTTGTTTCGGGTGGAAATTGCCATCATGGTTGGTCTGGCGAGAAGTGACCATAGACAGTTGGTCTGGTGACGCGATAGAGACCATGGGTGATGCAATTCCAAGTTAGCAGTTAATGATGGTTGTTGTGCATAGTTGCGGGTGCATTGTAATGACTAGAAGATTCAAGTTGAGATAAGCTGATGTAGAAGAATACCTAAATTAAAGGGGAGCAAACCTAACACTGAGTTCACACGTGAAGGGGAGATTGTTGAGATACACGTGTGAGTCGTGTTAGAGAAGTCCCACATCGGATAATTGATGTGGTGTTGAGCAGTTAATATATCCTAGTTGGCTCATAACTCATTGGCTTAAGTTTTGAGTGAAGGTGGGTCCAACTGGATATGTTCACAGGTTCGGACTTGAGCTTCCTCTTGACGATCTCCCCAAGTGAAGGTATCGGGCTTCTACTGCGCACTCCCAACAAATTCCACATCAATGCAGGTTGGGGATGAGGACTCTGTATCACACTTACGCATGAACCTAACTAGCTTCTTAATTGGTACTTGAAGGATGTTTTCGGAAAGAATTTCTTTCATTTGATAGTGATTATTTGACGGCGAAGATGTAAATTTCGAATTGCTGGGGACGCGCGTCATTATAATCATCATTCATATGTACCTTCTAATGGGCCAGTTTATGTGCAACATCTACTTGTGAAGGATTGTGGTGGGGGTTTTTTTACATCCAACCCATGTATTTGGCAACTTCAAGGAATATGGAGCTACTTATGAGACCAAGGCTTCCTATGCGTCATTGGAAGATCCTAGCAGGATCTCTGACAAGACAATATCAAGCTCCTTTGATTAATTATTCTGAGCTGCAGAGCAGAATTTTACTTTTATCTGGTTACGTTGCAGATTTCTTTCGGAAATATTACGCTGCAGTTTGACACAGTGCATTGTGATGGGAAGTGGTCTTATGTTGTACTGGGTTCTTAGATATGAAAATTTTGCTTCTATGCGTTTTTTAGTGTTGAGGGTTGTTAAATTTATCTGGAAGAGCTTTGACTTAAGTGCATTGTCTTGGAAACAAATCAACACCCAGGTGTTGTGAGATATGAATTGCTTGCTCAGTCACATTCAGTGATAAAGTCATTTACATATATGTTTTTTTTTTTTGGTAAGGAAGTCATTTACATATATGTTGCTCCGTATTGAAAGCTAAAAAAAAATTGAGAGCAGACATGATACCCTCAATGCCTTAAAAAGTGGGATGTAATTTGGGATTCTGTCAGAAACTTTTGTGCTCTATAATTGATTATTTCCCTGTTACTAACGGCAAGTACGGATGTAGAAATTATCGGCATGGCAATTGGTCGTAAGACAAACTTGCATTAAGAAGCATATGTGGTCTGCAGAAACTATATGCAGAGTGGATTCTGGATTTTTGACTGATACAAAAAATATGGATAGATAAATGGGAGGATGATAACAGAGATTTGGATCCAGTAAGGTCATTGAAACTGTCTATATGCCCTTGATATGTAATGGGGAAATTCAAAAGTCTGTCTAAATAGCACAATTCAGAGTTTCATTTCCTTGATCCACACATTAAATGCATCATTTATTTCCAGATTTTAGGGCGCTTTCCTGCTCAATCGTGCATCTGTTACCAACAATAGTGATTTATTTTTGCAGATCAAAACTTGAACTTATTGTGAGGTTTTCTTATTCTTTCACCTTGTAATGCAGGTTCCAAAGGAAAGGAAAAGAAATCCTGATTGAGATAAAGAAACAAACAGTCACAGCAGTCAAGCCACCGAGTAAGAGAAGTTCTGCAACTCTCTCCCTGGACCCATTAGAAACTGTAAGAATTGTTGACCTCTGTCATAATTCGGACAGCAGAAATTCATTAGAAGCCTGTAACGTCTGTAAATTGTTGATGATCATCACTCACTTGGGTGGCAATGGCAAGGGATACTGTCTTATACAGAAACTGTCTGAAATCTGTTTGTATGCTTGCTAGTCTATACTGTTGTAGTTCTCGCTAATGTGAGGTGTTTCAACCCTGGCATGTGCTCTCCACATTTTCGGTTGTCCTAGCATGAGAGAGAACATGATCGAGGCTGGCCTAGCCTGAGACAAGAAGTTGATTGAGATAATGAATCTTGAAAATTCCTATTTTCTCACTGTGCCAATGGTTACTGATGACTCTTTGATCAAATCAGAATCAGTGATGGATGTTTGCCGCTTTGCTTCTGATGTATGATCAGATTATGAGTCACTCATTTAGGTGACACTTGAAACAGCAAACTTCACCACAACATATCAGGTGCAGTTTCGTTTTGATTAGAAGTAGAATATGGTAAAATACTATGTAAGAACGGTCAAGGTTGCTATTCTTTTGGTAGAGTTGGACTAGCTGAAGATTCACCTCTGCCGTTAAGATTACTAATTCAATCTGCAGAGAAAATACCAAACGATAACTCTACAGTTGTTCTTTCGATGAGATGGTGCTACGGTGTAATTGATCAACGAGTAATATCAATGTCCCATTGAATTCTGCTTAAATTGACGAGTAGCTTGTTGGTTTTGCTTTGAAGTAATTAGCTTGATTTATTTTCCTGCAGAGAAAGCAAGAGAAAGCTAGTGATTCTTGTTATATTTAACAGATAACATTGGAATAAGACAACTTCACTCGAAAGCTCTTTAATTGCTTAGGATAAAGGGAGACACTGAAGAAGGAAAGAGTAAAAAAGTGAGGAGAACAACAAAGTTAGAGGTACAATAGAGCTTACAGTGGGCAATACTTGCTACAAAAATTTACTTCTGGTTTATATCCATATAGTTAGACCGTGCGCTTATTCTGTGTTGATTGGTGGGCTTTCATATAGTCTTCTCTTTTTGGAATTGAAGCTCAGAAATACTTTGGGGAATTAGACTTTTCCAAGTAAATATCCAGTACTCTAATTTTTCCGACTGGAAATTGTATGTGAGAATCTGAAGGTAATTGATTAGAAGTTTCTATGATTTATAGTTAGCTCCTCCTTGCAATGTGTAGCTCCGGAACTCTTCAAGGAATTTAATTACAAGATAAGGTGTGCGTTAATGTTTTAACAACATGAAAAGCTGGCAAGCTTCTGCATAATAATAAACGCACAGCATTACACACGGGATTCGGGACATCTCAGAAATCAGAAGCAGTAGCTTCTCTTTATTTGGCAACTCGGTACAACACACGGGATTCACGACATCTTCTTTCAGCTCTTTTATCAACCTCAACCTTTTTTCGGGGTCAAATGTTTTTCGAGATCTTTGATGACATTGATGCCAAACTTGAGATAATTGTGCGGCTCTCCATCGGTCTCCTTGAACTTCTCATAGATCAAGGAAAGTTTCACTGTCCCCGACTCCCCCTTGGGGAAAACCTGATAGACGATCATGTAGGCCTTGTACTTTTCAAGGACGTGTCCGCTCAAACCCACCATCGTTATGGTCTTGTTTTCCTCATCTATTTCCACCTTCTCTTTGAATACCTCCTGTACTCCATCTGCAATTTGGTTCCACTTAAATGTGTTCCACTCGATAATCTAAGAGCTTTTTACGATATTGGGCGTACATTGACGACAAAATGAACATATCTACAGCTATATATTTACAAGCCCGAAGTACCTATAACGGGGCACAATTTGGACAGACCTCAGATTAATCGACATTACTAGGTTCATACGTACCGATGGTGTAGTTCCAGAGTTTGACGGAACCGGGAGTGACCCAGTCGCCCTCAAGAATTTCAGCTCCTTGGACTTTGTCCGGTGAGGCATCAGGAAGATGGTGGAGTTCGGAGCTCAAACGTTTGAAGAACTTGTCCGCTGGCGAGTTGATCTCGAGCTCTTCCTCCACCTTCCCCTCTCGACCCATTTCCTTTCTCTAGAAACACCAGTGTGTTTAGCGCACAGGCCTCTTTAAGGATATTATACTACTTAGTTTCAAGAATGAAGATTGCGTGTGTCCGCTCTGAACTCGATCTCCTATCTATAGATGCTTTGTTGATGGGTGAAAGGTTTTTATTTTTTTTTATGTTGTGTTTCTTGGGTATACTTGAAGATCATGCACAGACTCTTACATGTGCGGAACTTGATCTAGACAGTTGCTGATCACGTTCCGGGTCGGTTCCCAGTCGCAATCCTGGAAGCTGGCCTCTCCTTGAATATGTTCTTGGTTTCAATTTTGGAACAAGTGGTCTACCCTAGAATTTATTCGCATGAGGATAGAATCGAAACAAATGGTGTACCTTAGAATTTATTCGCATGATGATACAATCGAACCATTCTTTGAATAAAGGTTTTCTTCTTCAAAAGGAGAAAAAAACATGTCATATTATATTTTTGCCACACAAATTCTAGATATGTCTTGAACTCCCCACGGCGCTGAGGCCCGGCGTTTGAGGCTAATGGATTATAAGTCTAAACATAGGATTTAACTCGGACTCTCCCAAGTCCATACCAACTCGCGACTTAAAGTTCAAGTTATTAACATGCAAATCAATGTTATGTAGGAATCGCCACTACTCGGTTTAGGGAGGGTCAATTAGAAACCCAAGTAAAACGACGGGAAAATCACCTTACTCCTACAAACCAAAGATTAAAAAAGTTTGGGGCCTTAATTACTCCAGTTACACAATGAATGAATTGGAGCTTTTTGTTAGAGACTAAGCTAGAAAAAATTCCAATACAATAACATGATATCTCAGTTTTTTCTTGATACGGTGAGTTAATTCCACGTTCAATGCAGGTTAGGGATGAGGACTTTGTATCACACTTATGTATGAACCTAACCGGCTTCTTATTTGGTACCGGAATGATGTTTCTAGAAAGAATTTCTCCCATTTGATAGTGATTATTTGAGGGAGTTGTGAATTTCGAATTGTTAGGAACTTGCATCATTATAAGCATCGTTCATATGTACCTTCTGATAGGCCACTTTACGTGCATCATCTACTTGTGAATGGTGTTAGCGTGAGCTGTCTTCTAGAGCCAAAATAGGAAAGTTCTTATTGTTTTTATACTCTTTCTATGTATATTTCCTTTTTCTATGTATATCCCCTGTTTTGTAGGTCAATTAGGGTTGATTCTTTTCTTTGTGTGTATATATATATGTACTTATAGCCTTGTAAACGTAAGCTGGAATACAGAAATTACAGAAAATTTTTAGAATTCTTTATTTTTCTTCATGGTATCAGAGCCACCGATCAAGAGACTCTATACTCGATCCGATCAATCAGACTCCATTGCCACGACCTTCGTCGCTGCTCCGACTAGATTTCTTAAAGATCACCGCAACCGTGCTGCATCACCCTATGGCAGACACAAACCCGACTGGCAATGTTCTTCCCTTGGTAGCACAAGAGGGAGCTTCGAATACTGATGCTCTTATTGAGCATTTGACCCAGGTCCTATCCCAACATGTTCCACAATCTCATGTTGAGACTCCAGCTCCCTCGATTGCTGTCAAGTTAGATGGAAGCAACTATGGTCTTTGGTCCCAAGTTATCGAGATGTACATCTCTGGCAAAGACAAGTTGGATATATTACTGGGGTTCTTCCCCAACCCTCTCCGAATGATCCCGGCTTCCGAAAGTGGAAGATTGGCGATTCAACTGTGAAGGGCTGGCTTATCAATTCCATGGATCCTGCACTGATTGGCAACTTCATCCGATACCCCACCGCAAAAGCGGTTTGGGATGCGGTGGCTACAACATTCTTTGATGGCGCCGACGTCTCCCAGGTGTATGATTTAAAGCGACGATTGACCCGATTGAAGTAGGTAGGCGGACCCATTGAAAAATATTATAATGACATGCAAGGACTTTGGCGAGAAATTGATTTTTGCCAGCCTAATCCTATGACCTGCGCTCATGATATTGACATATACAACACTTTAGTTCAGTAAGATCGTGTTTATTTGTTCTTGGATGGCTTGGATGATCGCCTCGACAAGGTTAGGGCTGATGTATTGCAAATGCAACCATTTCCTACGGTTGAACAAGCCTACGCACGAGTAAGAAGAGAAGATGTGTGCCAGGCCGTTATGATGGCACACCCACAGACTCCCACTGCTGCTGCTACGGTGTCGCGTGGCAGTAAAACAGGCTCAAAATTTCCAGAATTCAGCTCTGGACATGCTACTTTACGAATGGTTCTTGGTTCTACTCCACCTGGGGGAGGGCGCTCTAGCTCTGGTCCGCAAGCTAAGTTGCAACCGCTAGCAGCAGGAGGTTGCACTCACTGCGGGAATTCTCGACATATAAAGGAGACCTGTTTCAAGTTGCATGGCTATCCTGAGTGGTGGAAAGAATTGCAGGCAAAAAAGAAGGCTGACAATCCGACGGGTAGAGGACAAGCTTCCTTGGCCATAGGTGATTCTTCGTTATCTTTGGTGCCACAGGTAGACTCCACCGCTGCACCTGACTCCGATCTTACAGGTAACGATGGGTTTGTGCTTGTCAATACTTCTCAAGCAGGAGGTAAAGATGGGTGGATTGTTGATTCAGGTGCTACTGATCACATGACACCCCATCCTGATGATCTTTTGCGCCACACCGCTCCGAGGAGACAACATATATATAATGCCAATGGTCGTCCTTTTCCTGTGTTGGGGGCTGGCAGTGTTGAACTTTCCCCATCTTTATCATTATCTCATACTTTGCTAGTGCCATCTTTATCTAACCGACTGCTCGCTGTTGGACAAATCACTGCTGAATTGAATTGCAGCGTTATTATGTATCCCTCCTTTTGTTTATTTCAGGATATCCTCACGAAGGAGATTATTGGACGTGGTACTAAGAGGGAGGGATTGTACTTTGTTGATGACTTTACTGAAAGCCGAGCATAGTACACCCACAATCAATCTACTGCTAAGGAGAAAGAAATTTGGTTATGGCACCGTCGCTTAGGACACCCTTCTTTTGGGTATTTAAAGAAATTATTTCCAGATTTGTTCAGTAGTTTATCAGATTTTGAATTTCATTGTGAGACCTGCATCTTGGCGAAGAGCCATCGTGCTTCTTTTCCATTGAGTTTTAATAAGAGCCAAACTCCTTTTGCATTAATACATTCGGATGTGGGGGGTGCTTCACCAATTGTTACTATGTCTGGCATTCGTTGGTTTGTAACTTTTGTGGATGACTGTACAAGGATGACCTGGTTATATTTAATGAAACATAAAGATGAAGTAGGGACAATCTTTCGTGTATTTCACCGCATGGTCATGACTCAATTTGGAGCTCAAATCCGTATCCTTTGCAGCGACAACGACGGCGAATATATTAACCAACACCTCACAGGTTATTTTCAAGACCATGGATTAATTCACGAGACCTCTTGCACTCAGACACCCTAGCAAAATGGTGTTGCTGAACGGAAAAACCGTCATATCCTGGAGACAGCGAGGGCACTTCTAGTGGGTGGGCAGGTTCCGAATCGGTTTTGGGATGCGGCTGTGGTTACTGCCGTGCATCTAATGAATCGCATGCCCTCCCGTGTATTGGCATTCCAGACCCCGCTTCAGGCACTTTCGATGCATGTCTCACTTCTTTCAGTCTTGACTTTACCTCCCAAGGTGTTTGGGTGTGTGGCCTACGTCCATCTGCATAAAAATCAGCGAACAAAGCTCGACCCATGTGCTGTCAAGTGTGTTTTTCTTGGCTATGGAATCCACCAGAAGGGATATCGCTGCTACAATCCGGATACAAAGAAAACTCATGTGACCATGGACGTTACATTTGTTGAATCTGAACTCTTCTTTCCTGCCACCAATTGTACCTTTCAAGGGGAGATCCATGGTGAAAGGGTAAATTGGTGGGAAGGCGGCTTGATGGCAGGGGTTAGCGATGCATCTAACTCACGGCAGTAACTTCTTAATGAAGATGACCAGCAAACTATTTTGTTACAAGAGGCACAAGAACAACCTCAAGAGCAGTCCTCTCTTCCTCAAAATATCCCCTCTTTAGTACTTGACCATTCTCCTGAGATAAGCTCTCCTATCACACATAATTCTCTTGTTGATACTGATGAGGTTGTTGGTTATAAATTACCCGACAGACATAATCGAGGCAAGGCTCCTAATAGGTACTCACCAGATGTGGAGGAACGAAGGTCAAAGTACCCAATTACCAATTATGTTTCGACAAGGAGATTGTCGGAACACTTGAAGGCGTTTGTGGCCAATGTCTCCACAATTCAAGTTCCTAGTGGAGTACAAGAAGCCTTGAGGGATCCCAAGTGGGTTCAAGCAATGAAAGGGGAGATGGAAGCCTTGCAAAAAAATAAGACCTGGAGATTGGTAGAGTTGTCGAAGGGGAAGAAGGCAGTGGGGTGCAAGTGGGTCTTCACTGTCAAATACAAAGCAGATGGGTTAGTTGAAAGGTACAAGGCACGACTGGTAGCAAAGGGATATACCCAGACCTATGGTGTGGACTACCAAGCAACATTCTCTCCAGTTGCGAAGCTGAATACCATACGGGTTTTGATGTCACTTGCTGCGAACCTGGACTGGCCTTTGCACCAATTTGATGTGAAGAATGCGTTTCTTCACGGAGATCTAGAGGAAGAAATCTACATGGAAGTCCCACCTGGGTATGCGTGTGCTGATCAGTCAAATGTAGTGTGCAAACTTCAGCGATCATTATATGGGTTAAAGCAATCACCCCGTGCGTGGTTTGGTCGGTTTAGCTCAGTGATGAAGAGGTATGGATACACTCAAAGTAATTCTGATCATACGTTATTCTTAAAGCGTAGACAGGATAAAGTGACATCATTGATTATATACGTGGATGATATGATCATCACAGGGGATGATCTAGAAGAAATTGTAGACCTTCAAGGGCGGTTAGCTAATGAGTTTGAGATGAAAAATTTGGGAGGCCTGAAATATTTTTTGGGAATTGAAGTAGCCAGGTTGAAGGAAGGTATTTTCTAGTCTCAGCGAAAGTATGTGTTACATTTATTAGCTGAGGTTGGAATGTTGGAGTGTAAGCCTGCCGACACTCCTATAATTCAAAATCATAAACTCGGAGAGTTTCCTGATCATGTGCCTACCAATAAGGATAGATACCAAAGGTTAGTAGGGAGACTAATATATTTGTCACACACTCGTCCTGATATTGCATATGCTGTAGGGGTTGTGAGCCAATTTATGCATGCTCCGAGTGAAGAACATATGAATGCTGTGGTTCGGATTCTGCGCTACTTGAAGTCAGCTCCAGGAAAAGGGTTGTTCTTTGCAAAGAACGGTCACCTTGAGGTAGAAGGATTTACGGATGCGGATTGGGCAGGTAGTATCTCTGATAGGAGGTCTACGTCAGGCTATTTCACGTTTGTGGGAGGAAACTTGGTAACATGGAGGAGCAAGAAGCAGAAGGTTGTAGCCTTGTCAAGTGCTGAAGCTGAATTCCGAGGGGTAGCTAAAGGTCTATACGAGCTATTATGGCTAAAAATGTTGATGACAGAACTTGGTTTCCCACCTGAATCCGAGATGAGACTATTTTGTGATAATAAAGCTGCGATTGAAATTTCTCACAATCCAGTTCAACATGACCGTACTAAGTCTGTTGATGTGGATAGGCATTTTGTCAAGCAGAACTTGGATGCTAAGGTGATAAAGTTTCCATTCGTTAGATCTGAAGATCAGTTAGTTGGCAGATGTTCTTACGAAGGCCTTATCGAATCGAGCTTTTCACAGCTCACTTGTCAAGCTGGGTATCAAAGACATCTTCTCACCCGCTTGAGGGGGAGTGTTAGCGTGAGCTGTCTTCTAGAGCCAAAATAGGAAAGTTCTTATTGTTTTATACTCTTTCTATGTATATTTCCTTTTTCTATGTATATCCCCTATTTTGTAGGTCAATTAGGGTTGATTCTTTTCTTTGTATATATATGCACTTATAGCCTTGTAAATGTAAGCTGGAATATAGAAATTACAGAAAATTTTTAGAATTCTTTATTTTTCTTCAAATGGTTGTGGTGGGGTTTTTTTTACATCCAACCCATGTATTTGGCAACTTCAAGGAATATGGAGCTACTTATGAGACCAAGGCTTCCTACCCGTCCTTTGAAGGTTCTAGCGGGGTCTCTGACAAGACAAGATTTAGCTCCTTTGATCAATTAGTTTTGAGCTGCAGTGCAGAGTTTTACTTTTATCTGGTTACGTTGCAGTTTGACTTAGTGCATTGTGATGGGAAGTGGTCTCATGTTGGGTTCTTAGATATGAAAAATTTGCTCATATGCGGTTTTTAGTGTTGGGGCTTGCTAAATATATCTTGAAGAGCTTTGACTTAAGTGCATTGTCTTGGAAACTGGCCAACACCCAGGTACAGTGAGATATGCATCGCTTGCTCAGTCACATTAAGTGATAAAAATCTTTTACGTATACGTTGCTCCGTATTGAAAGCTAAAAAAAATTGAGAGCAGACATGACGCCCTGTATGCCTTGAAAAGTGCGATGTAATTTGGGATTCTATCAGAAACTCGTGTTATATAATTGATTATTTCCTTGTTACTAATTGCAACTACGGATGTAGAAATTATCAGCATGGCGAGTGGTTGTAAGACAAACTTGCATTAAGAAGGATATTTGGTCTACAGAAACTATGTAGTGGATTCTGGATTTTTGACTCGTACAGAAAATATGGATCGATAAATGGAACGATGATAACAGAGATTTGGATCCAGAAAGGTCATCGAAAATGTCTATATGCCCTTGATATGTAATGGGGAACTTCCATAGTTCAAAAGTCTGTCTGAATACAGTTTTTTGCACAATTCAGAGTATCATTTCCTTGTCCAAACATTAAATGCTCATTTCTTTCTAGATTTTAGGGCGCTTTCCTGCCCAATCGTGCATCTGTCAACAACAATAGTGACTTATCTTTGCATATCAAAACTCGAGCTTATTGTGAGGTTTTCTTATTCTTTCACCTTGTAGGGCTGGTTCCGAAGGAATGGAAGCTGAATCCTGATTGGAATAAAGAAACAAACAGTCACAGCAGTTAAGCCACCTAGTCAGAGGAGTTCTGCAGCTCCCTTTCCAGACCCATTAGAAACTGTAAGAATTGTTATCCTCTTTGTCATAAATAGGATGGCAGAAAAAAAAAAATTCATTAGAAGCCGTAACGTCTGTAAATTGTTGTCATCACTCACTCGGGTGGCAATGGCAAGGTATACTGTCTTATACAGGAACTGTCTGAAATCTGTTTGTATGCTTTAGTCTATACGGGTGTAGTTCTCGCTAATGTTAGGTGTTTCAACCCTGGCATGTGCTCTCCACATTTTCGGTTGTCCTAGCATGAGAGAGAACGTGATCAAGGCTGGCCTAGCCTGAGTCAAGAAGATGATTGAGATAATGAATCTTGAAAATTCCTTTTTTCTCACTGTGCCAATGGTTACTGATTACATGACTCTTTAATCAAATCAGAATCAGTGATGGATGTTTGCCGCTTTGCTTCTGACAGATGATCAGATTGTGAGTCACTCATTTAGGTGACACTTGAAACAGCAAACTTGACTACAGCATAATAGGTACTGTTTAGTTTTGATTAGAAATAGAGTATGGTAAAATAGTATGTAAGAACGTTCACGGCAGTTATTCTTTTGGTAGAGTTGGACTAGCTGAAGATTCACCTCTGCTGTTAAAATAACTAATTCAATCTGCAGAGAAAATACCAAACGATAACTCTACAATTGTTCTTTAGATAAGATGGCGCTGCAGTGTAATATTTGATCAAGGAGTGATATCAATGTCCCACTGGATTCTGCTTAAATTGATGAGTAGCTTGTTGGTTTTGCTTTGAAGTAATTAGCTTGATTTATTTTCCTGCAGAGAAAGCAAGAGAAAGTCATTGGATCTTTTTATATTTAACAGATAAAATTGGAGTAATACAGAACTTCATTTGAAAGCTCTTTGATTGCTAAGAATAAAGGGAGACACTGAAGAAGGAAAGAGTGAAAAAAGTAAGGAGGACAACAAAGTTAGAGGTACAATAGAGCCAACAGTGTGCCATACTAGCTACAAAAATTTACTTCTGGTTTATATTCATGTAGTTAGACCGTGCGCTTATTCTGTGTTGATTGGTGGGCATTCAATTGGTCCTCTGTTTTTGGTATTCAAGGTCAGAAATACTTCCGGGAATTAGACTTCCAAGTAGATATCCAGCACTCTTAACTATTGCAACTGGAAATTGTTTGTGAGAATCTGAAAGGTAATTGATTATAAGCTTCCGTGATTTATAGTTAGCTCCTCCCTGCAATTTGTAGCTCTGGAACTCTACAGGGAATTTAATTACAAGATAAGGCGCACGCTAATGTTATAACAACATGAAAAGCCGGTGATTCATGCAAGCTTTTATTCTGCATAATAATAAACCCACAGCATCACACACTGAATCACTGATCTGCACATCTCAGAAGTCAGAAGCAGTAGCTTCTCTTTATCTTCGCCACTCGGTACAACATACAGGATTCAGGACATTTTCTTTCAGCTCTTTTTATCAACCTTAACCTTTTTTCGCGGTCAAGTGTTTGTCGAGATCTTTGAGGAAATCAACGCCAAACTGGAGATAATTGTGCGGCTCGCCATCAGTCTCCTTGAACTTCTCATAGATCAACGAAAGCTTCACTGTCCCGGACTCACCCTTGGGGAAAACCTGATAGACGATCATGTAGGCCTTGTACTTTTCGAGGACGTGTCCGCTCACACCCACCATCGTCACGGTTGTCACGACCTAAAATTCCTCTCAGGCTAATGGATTGTTAAGACTAAGCCTAACTCGGGCCCTCCCAAGCCCTACCAATTCGCAACTTAGGGTTTAAGTTTTTAACATGCAAAAATTTTTATGCTCGTGTCGCGACCTCCCCGAACCGACCCCGCCGCCTAAGGTGGTTTGGCTAATGGATTACTAAGTTAAACCTAGCTCGAGCTCTCCCAAGCCCATACCAATTCGCGACTTAAGTTTAAGTTGTTAACATGCAAATCAATTTTATCTAGGAGTCGCCACTAATCGATTTTGGTGGGCCGATTAGACACCCAAATGAAACACGGGAGGAATGCTTCACTTCTACGAACCAGAGATTCAATGGGTACGGAGACTTGATTACACTAGCGATCTACTAGTGCCCTTTCGGTACCTAAACTTGATTACTTGCAAATTAACGTACTAGGCAGCCTATCGAAAAAGCTAAAATTCCGTCTAACCATGCTAAAAATAGAAAATACCAACCAATAATTTAAAGACGCGCAACCAAATAATCACAAGGAAAACAAGCAACCAGTGACCTAGCATCGTCTCTAAAAAAGAAAAGGCAATCAAAAGCCCTAAAGTAAAGCCCTCATGGCTTATCCGATTTTTGGGAATTTTTTATAGGGTTTTTTCTCATTCTTTTCATTTTTTTTGTTTTGAGTTTTTAACCTAAAATCTAGTGAAATTAAGCCCAAACTGGTTTCTGAACATCTCCTAATTTTCTGATTTTTTTTGAATTTTTCTGAATTTTTTAATATTTTTTAATTTTCTGAATTTTTTAATGTTTTTCAGACTTTTAATATTTTTTTGGGTTTTTAAATATTTTCGAATTTTTTGGAATTTTTAATATTTTAATATTTTAAAAATAGTTTTAATATAATAATTCCGGACCGGGTCCCCTGACCCGATCCGCCCGACACATGACCCGGGATCCCCATTCCCTGCTCCTTTCTATTTTTTATTTATTTTCCCCTCTTTTCCTTTTCTTTTCTCTTTTTTTTGTTTCTTTTTCTTTTTCTATTATTTCTTTTCTATTCTTCATCCCCTACGTGCTTTTCCAGAACTTCTCCCCTGTTCTTCACCGAGAGCTCTTCAACACACCACGCCGGGCACGCCGCTCGGCCTCCGACCGACGACGCGCGTCGCGAACGCCGACGACCGACACCGGGCTCCCACTCTCACCACCGACATCCACATCCGCCGAACCAACAGCTAGTACCGAGCACGAGACGACACCGCCGACCAAACACCGATCTCGACTTCTATTTTTTTTATAACTCCACATCTCAACCAGATCTAAAACCCTAAACATATACTCACATAAAACACATGATGCAAGGTTGGGAAAAGAACTACGACGGCCTCCAACTGCATGCGTGGATCCGGCGACAAGAATGGCAACTCTGGCAAAGGCTTCATCAAAGGCCCACTCGGACACACGACCAATATGCCATCACAACAAAACAACACAGAATCAATCACCAAACACTAATATCAGAATAAACAAACGTGAATCTAAGATTTTTACGGGTCAACGTGGTGACTGCGGTTTAGGTTTTCATTCGGGCATTTCATCGAACAAGTGGAATGTGCCTAAAACTAAGGGTTTCTAAGTGGATTTCAGCGGGATTCAAAGGTTTTTCTTGATAGAAATCGCTCAAGAACACGTCCTGAAGGTGAAAAGAAGCATTTTCCTCGTCTTGCGGTGCTGGGCGACCACTGAATAGGCTCGGTGTGCCCGGCACCCGAGAGGCAGGGGAGGGGGAAGCGAAACGGGGGATGAAAAAGAGACCCACCTGGTTCAAGGCCAACCGGAGCAAGGCGCGACGACCGGGGGAGTTCGGCAACGGCTCAGGCGGCCCTCCGGCGAGCGGGCGAGACTCGGGTCTCCCCGACTCCCCTCAGCTCGCTCACGGTCTCCTCTTTCTCTCTTCAAACTCTCTCTTTTTCCTCCTTTCTCCTCTCTGTTTCCTCCCCGTTTCTCCTCTTCTCCCTCTGGAACTCTCCCTCTCTCCCTCGGAACTCTCCCCCCTCCATGCCTCTGTGTTCTCTCGCTCTCTTTAAGCTCTCCTCTGCACGTACAGATTGCAGGTTTTCCTTTTTCGTGTGAATGTCGACGGAGAGCAGAGAGATAGTAAGAAAGGCGCGCCCCTCAGTCCCTGGAAGAGCTCTCCCTCTTGTCTCTTCCTTTTTATCTTTTCCTTCCTCCTCCCTTCGTTCTCCTCTGGCTTCTTTTTTTTTTTTTTCTCTATTCTCGTTCCTTTTTTGGTTTGTGCAGAACCCCTCTTTTTCGTCCTCTTCCCCCTTTTTCTTCTTTTTCGCAAGTGTCAGAGGGAGAGTCACAGGGAAGAGCTCCCCTTTGTCTTCTCTCTCTTTTCTTTTTTTCTTTTTTTTTAAAATATTTTTTTCAATTTTTTTAATTTTTTTAAATAAATAAAAATAAAAAAGAAGTAAAATAAAGAGAAAATATGTTTTACTAAATCTATTAATGCAAATGCGCCTAATGTCTACATGCCATACAATTTAAAGAAAATATTTTTGGTTTAGGGGTTAAAAAATTAAACCCTAATTTTTATGCGATAAAACCCTAAATGAATAGGCAAAATTTAGGTGTCAACAGCTCGAAGTCGCCACTAATCAATTTATGGTAGGTTGATTAGAAACCTAAATAAAACATAGGGAGATATGTTTTATTCCTACGAACCAGAGATTCTAAGCCCGGGGACTTGATTACGCTAGATCTGGTCTAACGCCCTTTCGGTACCTTTTCTTTTCAAAAATGTTTTGGCAGGCAATTTGGATCCATTTCAACTTAGTTACTAACATGTGAGGTGTTCATGCGAGTGCGCAAACCACCAATTTAACACCCAGAAAGCATTAAATAAATTGCAAGTTTGGAAGAATTACTTACCTGGAAGCAACGTAAGCATCTGCATTGTTAGCTAGAAAATCACATTGACACCCTAATATGATTTCTAATTAACAAGCAATTCGCTCAATTTCTTTTTTTGGATTTTCACTTATTTAAATGAAATCTAGCCTATATGCAATGACATGCGAAAATGACATGCGATTAATGCAACCTAGCATGCAAACTATATGTCGTGCGACGACGTGACCTATTTCTAATGACAAGACGAATGATTATTTTTGGTATTTTCTCAATTTAAATTCGGAATAATAAAAATGCCTAAATTAACATGCAAACTATGATGACTTAATCTACCCTAGCATGGTTTCTTTTTGGGATTTTTGTTAAAATTCGAAATAATGAATAACCTGAATAATCTATTAAGATTAGAATATTACTTAATTTAAACTAGGAAATAGATCATCTCAAGTCCTAATTTAAATTATATAACTACTCTATCTTCTAGATACATTTAGGATTCCTAGACATGCAAAAACTCTAATTCAAATCTAATTAATATTTTTTGAATTTTCTGTTTATTTGAAAAAGGAAAGCAATTAAATAAACAAGGATAGCAACCACATTCAAAACGTCCACGCGATCCGCCATATTTGTTTCAAACTCGGATTAGGCATAAAAATCAAACTATCGGTCATATCTATAGGGTTATAGATATCGACGGAAAGCCGATTATTCAAATTTGGAAAGCGGATAAAAATCATTATCGTACCCAAGTGGTTATGGATAGGATAATAATTTTCCGTATCGCCGCGTATCGAACCTTAGGGATAAGGTCAGATGGTCGTCCAGATACGTTGCTAAATTAGGAAGTTTTCCTAATTTTGAATATTTAAAAATATTGCGGATATATCGAACATTATCCTAAGATATCTAAATATCCACATGATATTCACGAAATATTCAAATACCCATATTAGGAAATTAAATATTCTGAAAATATCGGATAATGTTGAATTACCTAATTTGCAGATAACTTCCAAATTCGAATTGTGGATCGGGATCGGACTCGGATGACGGGCGACGCGGCGTCGGCGCAGCGGCTCACGGTGGCGTCCGGCGACGGGCGCGGTGGAGCGCGCGGTGGTGGCGACGATGGCGCTCGCGGTGGTGCTCGGCACGGTAGGGCGGCTCACGGTGGTGGGCCGGCGGTGTGTGGCTCGTCTAGCCGCGACGAGGCTCGCGGCACGGGCTTGTCGCGGCGGTGCTTGCTGAAGCGCACAAAGCAGAGAGTCCCGGCCGTGGATGGAAACTCAGCGTGCGTCGGGCTGAAGCAGGACGATGCAGTGGTGAGGCTCGTGACCAGTGCGATCCAAAACTGCTGGAATTGATGATCGGGTACTGAGACGCCAGGAGGGGACTGCACAGCGAGTTACAACGGCAGACCACGGCTGAGAAGTTATTTGACCAACAGGATGCGTCGGGGTTTTTTGCTGGGCTCCGTGGCTATGCTGCTTGGACTAGACTTGCTGCGGTGAAGTTGCTTGTCGCGGAGGAACCTCGCTGGAATGTTGAGGCGTGACGGTTGTTGAGCATGCCGTGCGTGGTAGCTTGTGGAGGATGCAGAAACGTGAAGTAGCGAGAGCACAGGGACAAAACTTCACTTGAATCCACTTCCGCGTGCATGAAGGTGAGGTGCTGATGAAGAATGGGCGTCAACTTTCTTTCTCTGTTGGTCTCTCTCTGTAAAGCTACGGCCCCTCTCTCTCTCAAGCTATTTCTCTAAAAACTTTAATCTTCAAAATTATGAAAAGCCCCCTAAAATCCTGACCTAATGATGTATATATAACACTAATCTAGGTCAATTAGATGGGCTCTCTAGTCTTAATGGGCTTAGGCTTGGGCTTAGATTTTAATTTAATTTAAATGGGCTGAATTAATTAAGGATAATGGGCTGAATTAAGCTCAAATTAAAACAACCGAGCCTGTTTGACTTGTAATTCCCGGCCCTTGCCTTCCGAGCGAGCCGAGTCCCATTCGATGAAATTTAAGCTCGTTCGTCACCGCCGGTCCGATGCAAAATGCAATTAATTTAAAATGAATTTAAACTATATGTTATGCAACCTAAATATTTTTGTTTAGGGGTTAAAAATTTAATCCCTAATTTTCTATGCAAATTACACTAAATGATACGCCAAAATTTAGGTGTCAACAACGGTCTTGTTTTCCTCATCTATTTCCACCTTCTCTTTGAATACCTCATGTACTCCATCTGCAAATTGGTTCCACTTAAATGTGTTCCACTCGATAATCTAAGAGCTTTCTATGATATTGTGAGTTGATTTTCAACAAAATGGACATATCGACAGGTTTGTATTTACAAGTCCGAAGTCCCTCTAACGGGACACAATTTGGACATAACCTCTAAGATGGATCGACAACATATTAGGCTCATACGTACCGATGGTGTAGTTCCAGAGTTTGACGGAACCGGGAGTGACCCAGTCGCCCTCAAGAATTTCAGCTCCTTGGACTTTGGCCGGTGAGGCGTCAGGAAGATGGTGGAGTTCGGAGCTCAAACATTTGTAGAACTTGTCCGCTGGCGAGTTGATCTCAAACTCTTCCTCCACCTTCCCCTCTAGACCCATTTCTTTTCTCTACAAACACAAGTGTGTTTAGCGCACAGGCCTCTTTAAGGATATTATACTACTTAGTTTCAAGAAGGGAAAAAATCACCAAAAACCCCAAACTTTGTCATTTGTGACACATTTACCCCAAATTTTTTTTGTGACACCAAAAATCCCGAACTTTGCTTTTTGTGACACATTTACCCTAATGTATTTAGTCCATGGGCATTTTCGTCTTTTTTGCTTTTTCTTTTTTTTTCCTTTCCTGCGAGGGAGGCCTCGCCGGCGTCGGGCGAGGGCTGCCCTCGCCGGATCCGACGAGGGGGGCCATCGCCGGCGTCGAGCGAGGGCGGCCCTCGCCGGCGTCGGGCGAGGGTCGACCTCGCCGAGTCGCGAGGTCGACCCTCGGGGCGTGGAGCGAGGGCGGCCCTCGCCGGCGTCGGGCGAGGGTCGCCCTCGCCGGGCGAGCGAGGGCGGCCCTCACCGGCGTCGGGCGAGGGTCGCCCTCGCCCGGGCGAGCGATGGCGGCCCTCGCCCGACGCCGGCGAGGGCGGCCTCGCCCGAGATCGGGCGAGGGCGACCCTCGCTCGACGCCGGCGAGGGTCGCCTCGCCCGATCGGCGAGGGCCGCCCGACGCCGGCGAGGGTCGACCTCGCCGAGGTCGGGCGAGGGCCGCCCTCGCTCGCCCGGGCGAGGGCGACCCTCGCCGACGCCGGCGAGGTTCGCTCCGCTCGGGCGAGCGAGGCGGCCCTCGCTCGACTCAAGCGAGGTTGACCCTCGCCGGCGTCGGGCGAGGTCGCCCGCCCGGGCGAGCGAGGGCGGTCCTCGCCCGACTCGGCGAGGTAGACCCTCGCCGGGCGGCCCTCGCTCGACGCCGGCGGGTCGACCTCGCCGGATCGGGCGAGGCCGCCCTCGCTCGCCCGGCGAGGCGGACCTCGCCGACGCCGGCGAGGGTCGCCCTCGCCTGGGCGAGCAAGGGCGGCCCTCGCCGTGCGGCGAGGTCGACCCTCGCCCGACTTAGGCGAGGTCGACCCTCGCCGGCGTCGGGCGAGGGTCGACCTCGCTGAGTCGGCGACGGCCGCCCTCGCTCGCCCGGGCGAGGGCGAACCTCGCCCGACGCCGGCGAGGGCCGCCCTCGCCGGATCTGGCGAGGACCGCCCTCGCTCGACGCCGGCGAGGCCCCCCCTCGCCGGAAAGGAAAAAAAAAAGAAAAAAAAAAGAAAAAGCAAAAAAAGACGAAAATGCCCATGGACTAAATACATTGGGGTAAATGTGTCACAAAAAGCAGAATTTGGGATTTTTGGTGGTTTTTTCCCTTTCAAGAATGAAGATCGTGTGGATTGGCTCTGAACTTGATCTCCTATTTATAGATGCTTTGGTGGGGGTGAATGGTTTTTTTATATGTTGTGTTTGTTGGGTATACTTGAAGATCGTGCAGAGACTCTAGTATGTGCAGAAATTTGGGTCAGCACCTAGCCGATCTAGACAGTTGCTGATCACGTTCCGGGTTGGTTCCCGGTCACTAGCCTAGAAGCTGGCCTCTCCTTGAATAGATTCTTGCTTTCAGTTTTGGAACAAGTGGTCTACCCTTGAATTTATTCGCATGAGGATAGAATCAAAACAAATGGTCTACTCTAGAATTTATTCGCACAAAGATAGAATCGAACCATTATTCAAAAGGTTTTCTTCTTCAAAAAGAGAAGAAAACATGTCATTTAATATTTTTGCCACACAACTTCTAAATACATTTTATAGAAAAATAATTTTATAAAATTCAGAATTGAAATATGATGGACACTGCATTATAGAAGTACACTCAAATTTGTAGATGACTTCCTTCCACACAAGTCGATACAATGTAAATTGCCACTTTCTAAAAAAGTACCGATATATCTAGTATATTTACAAAACTGATTTATTAAGTGATATTAAGATTCATTCGGATGTTTACAAAAGCCAACTTTTATGGAAATAATTTTTTTCCAACTTATATTGATTGTAACTATATAACAATGCAAGAGGAGAAAATAAGAATATGTGAAAAATTTAGCGGCTATTTTGCTACATATTTTTGCAGTAGTTTTAACCGTGAACAAATGTGTCGCAACTTTTATAAAGCATTTACCAAATACCTTATAATTACAATAGCTCACAATAGATTTCAAGGAATCATCTCACCTAGTTCAAGAAACTGTACATTTAAAAGATGTATTATCAAACAAAAGTGCTACGACTTGTTGTAGCCTAGGTAAATAGAACATAATTACAGTATAAGCCCAGTTATACCAAACGGGCTCCTAGACAGTACTTGAGTAATATAGAACATCAACATCTTGAACATCTTTTAACATAAACTTAACAAAATCCCTTTTCAGACTTCGATAACAATTCTATGCAGGCCTATTCACGTGTCATGCGCTTTTGTATGCTCGCGTTTGCAATAAAAATCAATTAATTTTAAAATTATTAAGCCATGGATGACGAAAGCTAAGTCTAGTATCTTTGGAGTCCTTCGCTACTCATAGCATAGAAGTCACTTTCGCAAAATCTTTGCGCGAATCCTCAACTCAATTACACAAAGGCGTGCTTATGACTTACTACCAACTAGTCATGGCCACGGGCCGATTTTGGCCCGGAACCAGCCCGGTCAAACCCGGGCCCGGCCCATTGACCGGGCCCGCGGTTCGGAACCGGAACCGGCCCGTGGCCTATGGGCCCGGTCCGGTTCCAAATTATTTTTTTAAAATAATAATGAAATTTTTTTTAAAAAAAATTTCATTATTTAATTTTTTTTTATAAAACAAATTGAACTCTAATTGCCATGCATTGTAAGTGCATTGATCTCCAATTGCAATGCTTGGCTTGGGTGTATTGAACTCTAATTACAAGGCTTGGCTTGGATTTTATAAACAATCCCTTTGATGGTCTCTTCATTCCCATTTGATGTGCGACTCTCGGTTTGCCTTGAACGCCTTCAATATGAGACTCTTGGCTTGTCTTCATGCAAATGCCAAGAGTCCCACATCGAATGGGAATGAAGAGACCATCAAAGGAGTTGTTTATAAAATCCAAGCCAAGCCATGAGCATGTGAAGTTGTATGCCTTTTGTGGTTACGATCCTTTGCTAGTTAAGAGCAAAGGGTTCCATTGGACCGCCTAGAACCGGACCGGACCAATGGTCCGGTTCCTGGTTCTATGGTTTGCCGGTCCGGTTCCTAGTTCTAAAATTAAAAGACCGGTCTTACCGGTTCGGCTCCCGGTTCCGACCGGGAACCGATCACCCCTACAATTTTCATTTTGATTATAATTTATATTGAATAATTCATTATTTCATATATTTATAATTATTTATTTTTTTATTTCATAATTTATTTTTTAAATTTTTAAATTACGAACCAGAACCGGCCGGTTCCGAACCGTGGCCATGACTACTACCAACTCTCTTGTCACTTAAAAACAAAACTCTCATCATTTTAAATGGATAAGCAGAAACAAAGAAGGATTTCAATAAGTACAATCCGCCATTATTATACCCCTGATAACAGATAAATAAGTATCAAAATCGGATCGATGATCGTTAGTCCAGAAGTTGAAGTATGACTTGCCTTTATATGAATGAAAAGAATTAATGAATGGTTGTACACAATGTATATGGAGTTCTATATTGCTTCAACTAACTCGTGTGCATGGCTAAAATAATAGGTAAAACAGTTGAATTCGTAAACAGTTGTGAGCATCATCTCCAACTCATCTATGGCCTCCAGTGACGTGTATTCATTACTGAATCTTTACATTGCTTATAATTATTTACACCTAAATTTAGATTACCCAATTAAATTTTTTGCGCAAAAATTAAGAGTTAATTTTTTACCCCTGAAACAAAAATATTTTTATTTAATTGCATAGCATATAAACATTAGACGCATTTGAATTAATTACACTAATTAGAATATTTTTCCTTTTAAAAAAAGAAAATAATTTTAAAAAAATCGAATCAGGCCGGGTCGACCCGGCCCTCTCCTTTTTCCCTCACCAAGCCCTTTCCCCTTTTCTTTTTTCCTCTTCACGCGAGCTGGGCCAGCCCAACCCGCTCCTCCTTTCCCCCCGGCTCGGCCTCTCTCCTCTTCTCTTGTCACCATGGACGCCGCTCAGCCGAGGAACGGCAGAACGTCATTCCACCAAGCAAAGTTGAGCGAAGTAGAACAGAGCAGACCATGAGCAGCCCAAAGAGACTAAGCAGGTGGTCGCCAGCCGCCACAAAAGTCGAAGAGAGGGGAGAGAGAAGGGGCGGGGGCAATTTTTCATAGAAAAAAAAAAACAAAGAGAGAGAAAATAGGGAGATAGAGAGCGAATTGAGTGAGATTGAGTGAATACAGGTCTCAAGAGGGAATCCTAGACGAGCCTTATCGTCGATCGTATGCTGGTCGATGACTCGCTAGCCAAAGCCAAGACGGTAGGTTCCCCCCCCCCCCCTATTCTGCCCTGTTTTTTGTGTGCAGGTTGGCTAGAATTTGTGCTGTCCGTTTCGAGCGAATCCCGGCTCATACCGTCCCTGCTTCTGGTCCAGACACCACCTTAGAGGTTGAGTCGTGGCCACTGGAGCAGGTCTGAGTCTCGAGAAAGGTCAGTGACCTCACGATTTTGTCAAGCGCACTAGGTGTTCGACGAAATTCCCAAATGATGTATGAGATTTTAGGTTCTCGACCGGTGGCATAGAGGCCGGCTAGGGATCTATGGACCTGGTGGTGGCCATGTGGTGGCTGGTTGAGGATGAATAGAGGCCAAGAGTAGCTGGGTGTGCGTTAGCCAAGCCTTGGCTGAAGCTTGGGCATGAGAGGTTCGGGCCAAAGCTTGGCCGGTAATGGCAGTGGCAGACCAAGTAGTGGCTGGCCAATAGGGGGCCTCCTCAGCCTAACGTGCCAAGGCAGGCGTCGGCCGGCCGGCTCTCGGCTTTGGCTAAGCCTCGCTTGCCCGAGGCACATGAGAGCCGAGTTGGACTCGGTTCACGAGTTCTGGCTGACCCAAGCCAACCTTTTTGGGCTTGGCTTTGTTTGGATTCAAAGATCTGACCCGAGTCCATTTATATTATA